ACATGGATTAGGGAACTGGCAAGAAAGTGAGAAATTCTCAAAAGACCAACATACGAAGCAGGAACTGAGGAGCTAAGAATTCTGGGAAGCCACCTGTGCAGACCTTGTGGTTAGAGCATCCTGTTGACAGACGGAAGCACTGTGGTTTTGGGCTGCATTTCCAGTGGGAGGATTTCAGCCTTGGCTTTTTTGTACAGACTTTAGGATCTCTGAGTCCTCAACACCATTCTTCTGGGAGGGTAGGCACAAAAGATGGCAAAGTTCAGCTGTAAACAAAAGACAGTACAGCAGGGTTTTTTTTTTTTTTGGCTGGCTCAGGATGCCTTCAGGGCAGGTCTGGCAAGGCTTGAGGATCTGGGGATTGAACCACAGCAACCTGAGCCTGACTGCTTTGTTTAAGTAGTCACTTAAACAACTGAGCTAATTGGCAGGCCTCCAAACTTTCTTTTTTTTTGGTGGAATTGGGGATTGAACTCAGGTCCTTGCACTTGCCAGGCAAGCGCTTATTCTACTGAGCTATTTCCCCAGTGCCCAAAAGACAGTACGGCTTCTGGGTTCTCACAAAACACCCTTCCCATACTTCCGTTGGGATTCCCAACATTCCTCATTGTGAGTGTGAACTAAAAGCCACTGCCCCAGAGACCAGAGTGAATCTTGCCAGCATCAAGCCAAGAAAGGGAAATTTTCTCTTAAAAATGGATGAGTGTACACAGGCCCTGTTATGAGCTTACACCCTTAAATCATAGCACCTGAAGAGTAAACTCACCCTGAAGATTAGGTAACTTGTTGCTAGAATCACACCATCGTGCGCTGTGTGGCTTCCAGAAACAAAGCTGAAGTTTTCTGAGAACTCTGCCTACAACTCAAATATTTTCCCTTGCGAGATCCAAACACTCTCTGTAGGCCTGAAAACCTGACCCAACAAAACTGAAGTGCAACTCAAAGGCAACCAAAGCACTGCAGCCCTTAATGTGACACGAACAGCAACATCACAGTGGATGGCTTTACTCTGAAATTAAGTCGGGCCTTACTGTGAAGGTCACGTCCTGTGGATTCCTTCACTCTAGCCTGATTGCCTACACATCTCCTCAAGCCTGTGCAGAACCCAACTCTGTGTCCACCAAGGACAAGCTCCAGGGATGACAGGGATGGGTGGATAAATTTTACACGTTGATGTGGACATATACATCTACTCATACGCTGCTGTATATTATTTATGTAAGCGTTTATCAGATAAAATATAATCTCCAAAGCTGGCCAAGGACTGCTATAAAATATCAATTTAACAATAGCCAAAGAAAACAATCTATCAGTGAATATTATGAAGAGTATGCGGTGAGAGCTGCTGTACTGTTAAGTGAGTTCATAGTAGCAAAGCAGTGACAGTTCTTCACTTTCACAGGTACTAATTCATGAGGAGAAATCTGGACATGTTTGGTTTTTCTTTCTTCCCAAATGTTATAGCTTGTATCTTGATGTCCCTCACTCCAAGTCTTTATTGCCATGGTGGTCCTTTTCAAAGGTGGCTGCTTCTAAGGTGTGTGATGCTGGGATTAAGCATATGATCCTGGCATTAAGGATGCCCAACCCTGGGTGTGAGTGCTGCCTTCCTTACTGTGGGAATCCTGGATGGGATATAAAGGGACAGAAAGAGGGCTGCTACTGCTGCTTGGCTGTCTTCGGCCTGCTATGAACTTTTTCTTCTCTTTGATACCAGTCTGATATGCCACCCTACCTTATAGCAAGTCAACTAACGGCTGAAACCTCTACAGACTGTGGGCCCAAATAAACCTTCCAACGCAAAGGTTTAGCAGCTAGCAAGCAGTTTGATCAGCTCACAAGGCTCTCCTGGCTAACGTGGACTTCAGCCAAAATTTGGGCGTTAGCTAATGCTGCATAGAGCATTTTCTCCTGGAAATAAAAACACTCAGCCACAGATGGATGAAAGCATTGTCAAGGAAGACTGTTGCTTACTGGGTGGTGTGGCCATCTCAGACAGCAGGAACAGAGGACAGCAGAGCTGCCTACAGGAGCTACAACTCAAAGAAACCACTCTGTCCACACAGGTGCTGTCATTTCTGGGACTTGTTTCCAGGTCATAAGTTCGGTCCAACTGTTGTCAATTGGCACTCAATAGCCAGTCTGCACTATGCGTCATTCACGTCCATCTGCCCTGCTCTGTTCTACCTGCAGACAGGAGCCACAGCCCATAGGGCTCAGGCGACCTCCGCCATCTGCAAACAGTGTTCACCTGTTATGCTCTTAGAAATTGTCGCAGGACTTAGATCGATCAATATAGACTGTGCAACAAACTGAAGCTGAGAAATTTTTCTAGTATTTTTTGACTTATGTAAAATACCATTAAATTCAAATTCAATATACTAGATTTTCCAAATCAACAAAAATTCACATATCATATAACATATAAATAGATATGTGTGCAAATCACTTTTAATTTTTGGTTTGATGGAGGACAGTAATGGTTTCATAATTGGTTTTGTAGTCATCTTTTATGGTATATTACATTGGCTGGTTTTTTTTTTTTAGTATTCTGCAGGCGTTATTGTAATGGAGTATTTTTCTTACTGAACACTTTAATTTCTTTCACAAGCTTTCATTCATCTCTTGCATTAAATAAGATGTCCACTGGCAAAGAGACAAGAGGTGAATGAAAAGAAAGCTGATTGTAACTAAAACTTCACATGACACTAAAACATTCCAAAGTGTCCCATGTATTTTTTATTTTTTATACTAATTTTATAGAGGAACAAGTAGCAGTGAGACAGTTTTGAAACAGGTTAGTAGGACGGTTACAATAATTAATACATGGCATATTGTTGTCTTCATAGCAGTTATTCATAATACAAGATGCAGACATGATATCTTGCCTAAACACTATTAGAGGACTGGCCAAATAGCTCAGCAGATTAAAGTGCCTGCAAGCAGGTGCAAGGGCCAGGGGTTCAATCCCTAGCCCTGCTGTGCCAGCCCCACGCCTGGGGCGTGCTGAGTGGGCAATTGAGACTGGACATGGTGGCATGCACCTGGAATCCCAGCTCTTGGGAGGCTGTAAACAGGAGAATCACTATGAGTCTGATCTAGTAGTGAG